CTATCATCAATTTATTTCTTAATATTAAAACTTCATACTTTAAATTAATCATTAAATGATTCTTTACAAAGGTTTATAATACTATACAGTTACAGTGTAATGGGTAACGCACTTAATTTGATAGACTCGTATATTCATATTGATACACACAAACATACACACACACCACACACACACACACATACAAATACAAACGCATGTATACATAGACACACACACATACATATATATATACACACACATACTCAACACACTCGTACAACTTAATACTTACAATGCGTTATTGCTTTTAATATGGACAATATGAAGCAAACCTCTGGAGCAATTCAGCTATTTGGTCATTTCATTAATACAAGTGTTTTGTTTCTGCCAACTTGTATGCATGAGTATGTGTGTGTCTGTGTGTGTGTGTGTGTCTGTGTCTGTGTCTCTGTATGTGTGTGTATGTGTGTCTGTGTCTCTGTATGTGTGTGTATGTGTCACTCATTTATCAAGGTTTTTTTTTTATTTATAATGGATGGAGGTGATATTTACTGAAAGCTGCTTGAGAACGTGTTGTGATGTTTCATTTCATTTTTTTTTCACTTTATCAGAATAATTTCTGATTTTTGTAACATGCAACTTCTATAAATATTGAAAATAATATGTTTTGTTTTTGGTTGAAAAGGTTGCATTGGGATGCTATTTAAATTACACGAAATTGTGGCTACAAATAATTAAAGCATTAACTAAATTTTTCATTTATAAACGAGAGAGATAGTGATAGAGATAGAAAGATATAAAGAGAGAGAGAGAGAGAGAGAGAGAGAAAGAGAGAGAGAGAGAGAGAAAGTAAAAGAGAGAAAGCAAAAAAAAGGTTAAATAATTAAAAAATAAATAAAACCAACCAGACGTTATTCATATTTGATCTTGAATTCGATTGGCTGATTGTTATAAAGGTGGGTGGAGTCATTTCGCGACTGATTGGTTCGGTTTGTCCGCAAGATTAACCAATCCGAGATGGAGCGTGCATGCATGCATAATGCGAATCATTGACCGTTTCTCTCTCTCACTCTCTCTCCCTCACTCACTCACTCTCTCACTAAGAATATATATATATGTAAATGTATGTGTATGAGTCTGTATATAGTATGTATATTGTTATATCCTTGTGTATGCATAGAAGTTATGTATTCAATGTATGTATGTTTGTGTATAAACATATACATACATACATACATATATAGATATGTTGTATGTGTACGTTTAACTAAATACAAGTGTATCATCTGTCTATGCAAGCATACATTTGTATAGGCTGGTATAGATTTTGTGTGTGCATATAACATGTTATGCGTTTTGGAGTTGTTGTTGTCGTTGGTTTATCGTTTGGAAAATATCGTTAATTCAAGTGAATCATCGACTGCTCTTGCATGGGGTTTCTGTCTTAATTTGGCTCTAACTCATTGCTTTATTGAATTATCTCCATCATCTTCATCACAGTATCTGGTTTAAGGGTTTTTTTTAAGGTTAGGCAGCAGTTAGGAAATAAACTTTAATTGCGTTTTAATTTTCATGTTAATTGAGTGGCTGGTTGCAAATTTTGGTACCTCTGATGAGATATAACCCCATGACGATGTTGTTTGGTTATTTGGATTGAGATCATTGAATTTAGTAGACTGTTTTTGGTTTATTTATGTGGGAAGATTTCATTGCAGTTTTATTCAACCGGGAAATAAATATTGGACTTCTTTTTTTAAATGAAAAACTTAATTATATTGATTTATTTCATGCTGAAAAACCAAATAAATATTGAACTTAATTAAAATGTAATAATTTTATTTATTCGTGTAAATTTAAAAAAAAAATTCTCAAAATTGGATAGCATTTAAGTTGACCGCCTCAAAAGTTTGGATAAAAATGGACAAAACATAGACAACTTAACGCAAAATAATAAGTTTAGATCAATCTGTTGCTAATTAAAACAACTACATTATCGTCGTTCATTAGGTCTGCAACAACAACAAAAACAACAAAGTCAAAAACAAAAACGACATCATCATCATCATCATCATCATCATCATACAAGTTGAACATTATCACATCATTTTTCCATTATCACTACCGCGGTTAAACCAATCGCTTTGTGATATTCTTAAGACAATATTTTCATCATCAATTGATGTCATCGTTATCTTTATAATCGTTGTAATCGTCATCAGAGTTGGAGTTGGCATATTTATTTAATTCATTCATCATCTTTGTAGAAGTTGGTTTTCTTTCATTCCACTCTGACAATCATTTTAATAAAGCGTCATCATAGTTTATCATTGTAATTATTACTTCAGCATCATCATCATCGTGGTCGTCATCAGCATCTTCATAGTCGTCGTCATCATCATCAATATTATTGTTCACCAAAAACTCAAAAGTAAAAACCAGAAAATTCGGAATCATGTAAGTTTATTCATTTTTTAAAAATAATAATATTATCTTTTATTTAATAATTATATCAACGAAAATCGTTTGCATTTTGTTGAATAAAACCCAAAAAATTATCAACTGACATCAACACAGACATTTCTACGAACACAACAACGCTAATAACAACACAGCAACATAATCAAAAACACTGAATAAAACACCAACGACAACAACGACACAGTAAAACAAATACAACCAACACTCCAATTCAACCAGCAACACATTCTCTGACTTTCCAGTACCGCCTTTCTGAAAGTGATTAAAACAACTCAATCCTATTGTATGTTTGTTGTAGTGTATGTGTGTGTGTATGTGTGTGTGTGTGCGTGTGTGCAAAGTATAAAATCACAAACAATAATCACATACAACGTTTGTACATGTATATATACATAACATAAACTATTCTCACACACAGGCAATCACTAAATTTAATTTGTGTGCGTGCGTGTGTTGTTTACGTGCATCTGCATGCACACGTGTGGTGCATGCCTGTGTGAATTGGTGAACATGTTTCAGAAAGTGCATTCACGCGTTTAACTTCAGAGTTGTGGATGTGTAGTTCTTCTAAAGATTGAGATATTTTATCATACATACAAAATTATGCAAATATTTCTAATCGTTCTTAGTTATTATATAGGTTTCTATGTCCAAATGAATGAACAAAATTTAACAATAAAAGAACTCACACAAACAATATACATACACACGAGATTGTATGTTTGTGTGCGTGTGTGAATATGCGTGTGTGTGTGTGTGTGTGTGTGTGTGTGTGTGTGTGTGTGTGTGTACCTATATGCACGTGCACAAACCATTTGTACTGATTGTGCCAATTTGAAAGTCATCATACGTGTTTGTGAGCTGATTGGTTGATGTGCGTGTTGAAATGAGTGAATAAATGTGTGAATGAATGTACGAACGAATGAACGAACGTATTGACGAATGAACAAATAAATGCATGAACGAACGAACGAACGAACGAATGAATGAACGAACAAACGAACGAACATATGGATAAATGAGTGAATGAATAAATAAACAAATGATTGAATTTAAAGATGAATTGATAGAACATTTTGATGGATAGGAATAAATGAAAAAACGTCTGGATGAAGAAAAATCTCAAAATCCTGGCAAAGCAGTGAGGTAAACATAGATGGAAACAAAACAATAGTAAACTACCAAGTCACCAGATATAACATCCAAACATAAACACATGTTTTAACACATAAACACACGCATACACACACACGCACGCACGCACACACACATGCGAGCATTTTAAATTCACGTACACACATATACAAAAAAGCATCTACACAAAAACACACAGGCGCATATCCGCAAACACGCGCGCATACCTACACGTCAGAACGCATTCAATACCGGTAAACCACCCAGTAAGATGACGTCAGAGATTGTTGACGTCACGTGGTTTTCTGCGTAGTGAGCCTTTAACGGAAGTACGGATGTACGTGAGAGTACTACTGAAATATGACTGGCGGTACTTCGGTGTTTCAGATTGATGGTACCCCATTATGGTATTACACTTCTCTACTCTACTCGGCACAGTTTGGCGTTTTAATGACGTCATTTCATAATGACGTCATCAACAACGTCACTTGTAATTGCTGTTGGATGAAATTCTCCATATATCTATTCTTTCTCTTCGTACGCCAGTCAGTTGATTCAGGTTTAATCGCCTGTCGTCCAAACGAATAAGTCACATACTTACCATTACGTCATAATTATTACACTTCACTACAGAACGCTTTAACCATTATTAGTTAATCAGCCAGCTTTCTGTCTGATTTACTAACATTATTCAGTTAACATTCTCTCTGATTTACTAATATTATTTAGTTAATATTATGTCTGATTTATTAATAACAGTGGATACATGTTTTATCCATAAATTATTATTAGCTTCTATGAAATTTTGAACCTTTATAAAAAAAATGATTTGTCAATTTTGATGTTCCAGAAGTATTTGCCATCATCCGGACTTCAACCATGCCCACAAAAGGTAATTTTTAAATACAAATTTTATTTTTTTTTAAATTAATTAATTTTTTTTTATTTAACTAAGTGATCGATTGGATCATCAGTCTGTTTATTCATTCATTTTTTTAGTCGGTTTATTAATTAATTTGTTAATTTATTATTAAAATTATCAACTAATTCATTTATTCACTTATTTATTTTTTTATTTACTAATTAATTAATTATTGAAACCAATAAAAAAATTATTATTATAGTTTAAAAAATATCTCAAAATAATATTTTTTCAAATCCCCTCCAAGCTGAAGAGGAACATAGCAACACATCCAACGAAACTAACGATGACTCCAATAAAAAGTCTAGACCGAAACGAGGTGAGGGTATGATGAAAAAATTCCTACTAATACTACTACTACTACTGCTGCTGCTACTACTACCACTACTTCCGCTGCTATTACTACTAAAAATCTAGCATAATTATCATTACATTACATAATTAACGCAGCGAAAAATCAACCAATGATAATTACAAAAAACCAGGTCACAGCGGTGTCAACCAATTAGGAGGGGTCTTCGTGAACGGCAGGCCACTCCCAGATTCGACCCGCCAACGAATAGTAGAACTCGCTCACAGCGGTGCCCGCCCTTGCGACATATCTCGAATTCTTCAAGTCTCTAACGGCTGCGTGAGTAAAATATTAGGACGGTATTACGAGACGGGGTCCATACGACCGCGGGCTATTGGGGGGAGCAAGCCCCGGGTAGCTACCCCCGAAGTGGTGAATAAGATTGCTCAGTACAAGAGGGAGTGCCCTTCGATATTTGCCTGGGAGATCAGGGATCGCCTGCTCTCCGAATGCCTCTGTACGCAAGAAAATATCCCGAGTGTGAGTTTTTTGTTGTTTTGTTTTGTTGAGGTTTTTCGTTGTTTTTTCATTTGGTTTTTTGGTTTTGTTATAAATATGTTTGAATGTTGAAGTAGGAATTAATTTTTATTTGCCAAAAGTAACCTGAATTCTTCAGCATTTCATAAAATTTTATCTCCATTTTTCAAAAACACACATATATACAAACAAATATACACATACACACAAACACGCAGACAAACACACACACAAACAAACAAACACAGTTCGTATAATATCGCCAACAAGTTGTACGTACACCATATCCATCTCTCGACTCACATAACTTCGTGCACAAATATAATTCATCTTGAATTTGTCCTCGTATGCAATTGTATGTGTGTGTGTGCGTGTGCGTGCGTGCGTGTGTGTGTCTAATGTTTTGTATTTCCATGTTTGTATGTGGAATGTTGTGTATTGTTTTTGATGCTGTATGTTTGTACATGTTCATGCATTCATATTTTTACTTTTGGCAAATAAAAACGAACGAACGATCAAATAGACAGACAAACAAACAAACAAACGAGCGAACAATCACGAACAAGAACATGCATGTTTTAATAAACGTTTGTACATTTCAATAAAGTGACTGACCCCGCACTTCTCACACACACACGCCGCTCTTGTCCATCCATCTGTCAACAGCTTGCAATGGTCAGCTACTACTATTCATCTTGTTATCATCGTCGTCATCACTACAGTTTTATCATCGTTATCTTTATCATCTTCGTCGTCATCACCATCGTTATTATCATTGTTATCATCTCAAATATCATATTTTCATTCTCAATCTATCATTTTCATCACCATTTTTATATAATTTCATCAACATACACAATACACAAACATAGAGCCATAGAACAGACAGACACACACGCACATATATGAATACACATACACAAACACACACACACACTAGCATGTATACATACATTCAATAACAACGAGCACCACAACACAATTTTTCAATCTCTTAATAAACTTAAAACATGTATGCCCGTAATTCGTACACACACACGTACACACACACACACGTACTCACACACATACAAACACACACACACGCACACAGGCATATATATCCGTAAAAATATTATTATATTATTATTATATGGTATATTATTAAAAAAACCACATATATATGTATATATATATATATATATTTTTACAATATTCTATAAATTCTACCGAATGT